AGGTGTACATGCAGGCAGAATACTGTATACATAATAAATAAATCATTAAATAAATAAAACATTAAAAAAAAACCATCAGAGGTCGTGGTGTATGCCTTCAATCCCAGGAGGCAGGTCTCTGAGTTCAAGGCCAGCCAGGTCTACAGAGTTCCAAGACAGCCAAGGCTACACAGAGAAAATTTGTCTTGAAAAAAAAAATCAAACAAATAAAAAGATAAAACAAAAACTGTCACAAGAAGTTGGACAAGACAAACCAACAGAAGGAAAAGAGCCCAAGGGCAGGCACAAGAATCAGAGACCTACATGTTCACACACTCAGGAGTCTTGTATAAACACTAAGCTAACAGCTGTAACGTGTATGCAGGGTCATGTATGCAGGGTCCTGTGCTTGCTGCTGCAGTCTCTGTGAGTTCATGGAAGCCTTGCTTAGCTCTCCTGGTGTCCTCCATCACCCCGGCTCTTCCCCTTTCTGCCTCCTCTTCCGTACAGTCCTGAGGGACAAGGTGTTCCAAGCTCTCTCTGCATGATGTCTCAGCCTTGGTTCTTGGTAGCAGATGTCAATTATCTGGTGTAACGGGTTCCACGTAACACTTTCATACATGTACAGCATGTTCTACCCAAAGCCCTTCATCCTCGCTTGCCCTCCCCCCACTCCTGTGGGTCCCCTTCCTCTTCCCAACCAGTCCCCTTCATCTTTAGATCTTTTTTCTCTTATCTTGTAACCTACCTGTTTGCATAAGCATGGGTATATTTTTAAAAACCATACCTATTTGTGTGTGTGTGTGTGTGTGTGTGTGCATGTGTGTACACATGCACAAGCCACAGTGTGCATGTGACTGGCAGAGGGCAGTTTATGGGAGTCGCTTCTCTCACTCTACCATGTGGGCTCCAGGGATCAAACTCAGGTCATCAGCAAGCAATGTTTGGCAGCAAGCACTTTTAGCCATCGCACTGGCCTGAGGTCTATATCATAGGATCACATGTAGACACTGGAGAATATATATATTTGTGAATGTGTGTGTGCACTCATGTGTGCGAATGTGGGACACACAGGCCATGGCATGTGTGTGCAGGTCAGGGGACAGTCTTGGGTGTTAGTCTTTGCCGTCCACCTCCCTTAGAGGTGCCTCTCTTGGTTGATTGCCTCTGAGCTGAGCACACCGGGCTGGCCGGCTTCTGGCGCTTCTCCAGTCTCCATCTGTTGCCACTCAGGAAGAGACCTGGATTCCACTGTCTGTCTAGGTTTGCATGGGTTCTGGGGATTTGAACCCAGGTCTACATGCATGGCACTTCACCCACTAAACTGTCTCTGGGGCTGCCTTCCATCTTGTTCTCTTCTGTCGGCTTCTGGAGTAGCTGGGCTCGTGGGCCGTTCCAGAGCCGCCAAGTGTTCTTTTATATTTATTTTATTTTTATTTTATGTGCTTTGGTGTTTTGCCTGCATGTGTGTCTGTGTGAGTGTTGGATCCCTTGGAACTGGAGTTACAGACAGTTGTGAGCTGCCCTATGGGGGTCACGAGTTGAATCTGGGTCCTCTGGGAGAGCAGCCAGTGCTCTTAACTGCTAACTGGCAGGTGCTCTTGACTAGATGGAAACTGTAGCCACGGAGGCCAGTAAGTCCTGGAGCCTTTGAGTCAGCAATGGGAAGGGAGACTGTGCCTATTTCACAGGTCAGATGTGGGTGCTGGGGAACCAGTTACCATTCTAGAGCCTCATGGTTAGTCAGCAAGGTAGCAGGGATTAAAGCCCGTGCCACTTAGACCCTAAGTGTGGGGATCAGAGGAAGCCCTAAGACTGTGTGATTGACATGACCACAGCTGTGTCAAGGACCCTGATGCCTCATATCCAAGGAAGCAGCAAAGCCTTCTGTGGTGAGACTCAGGGAACCCGTGGAGCCAGCTGCTGGTCCAAGTGTGGATGCTGACTGTGTGCAAAAACAAGCCATCTCGACTCCCTCCTCAGAGATCGCCACAGCCTGAGATGGTCCCCTTACAGAGACTTCCCTGGGAACCAGGTGAACCACATCTCAGCTGTGTACCACAGCCCCACCTCCTCCACCTGGACAAATAAAAAACGTGTGGAATATCTTGGCTGTTGCTGGTACATCTCCATTAGAGGGCATGGCCCATCTGGCCCCAACTTTTCTCTAAGTGTCTGTGTCTATGTCTTTTCTTGATTTCCTCATTGTTGTGTGGAGCGGTGGGCTGTGTTCCCACCCGGCTCCTGCACGGCTAGCTTTATACCTGAAATAACAACACACAAATTGTATTCTTTTAAACACTGCCTGGCCCATTAGTTTTAGCCTCTTACTAATTCTCACATCTTGCTTTAACCCGTATTTATTAATCTGTGTTGCACCACGAGGTGGTGGCTTATCGGGAAGGATCTTAACCTGTGTCCATCTTGGAGAGGAGAGCTATAGCGTCTGCCTCACTGCCTTCTTCCTCCCAGCATTCAGTTCTGTTTACTCCACCTACTTAATTTTCTGTCCTATCAAAGGGCCAAGGCAGTTCATTTATTAACCAATGAAAGTAACACATAGACAGATGACCCTCCTCCATCACCTCATGGCCCCTATCAAGTCTCCAGGAATAGTCTGTGCAGGACTCGGCACCCACACCTGTTAATTGTGACTCAATAAAACCTCCAGGGGCTGCAGAGATGGCTCAAGGGATAAACATACTCTTCAAGCAGATGGGCCTGAATTAAAATCTACAGCCCCTGCATAAAAAGCTGGGCATAGCTGAGCGTGCATAAAGCCCAAATTGCTTGGTTCAGCCAGGCATGGTGACACCACCTGCTGTCCTGGCATTTGTGAGGTGGAGGCAGAAGGATCAAGAGTTCAAGGTTCTTCTGGGCTCTCTCACAGCACTAAGTAGAACACTGCTTCGTTCCTTCTTTATTAATTCACATGTGTGCACACATTCCCGTGTGCCACAGCATGAGATATGGAGGCCACAGGCTTGCTTTCATGAGTCAGTTTTCTTCCACCACATGCGGTCCTGGGGATGGGATTAGGTGGACAGCCTTAGCGGCCATCATAGCAGCGTCACCCCCGTGGCCCCCTTGCCGGCAGCCCGTTTCTACCTTTCTGCATTTCTACTCACGTGGCAGGGCACATCTGTAACATCTGCCCTCAGGAGGCTGAGTCAGGATGCAGAGTGAGAAGGAAAGAAAGAGAGAGGAAATGGGAGAGAAGAGGAAAAGAGGGAAGTGGAGAGAGAGTGAGAGCAACTCCCATGCCTTTAGAAACACAAACAGGAAGCAACAGTTATGCCTGCATCTCATTGGTCAAAACCAAGTCACATGGCTGTGTGTAGTGTAGCTGCAAGGGAGCCGGACAAGTACTTTCGCTACAATAGAAGAAAGCAGAGACTCGGATCAGTGTGGCTTAGGTGTTGTTAGTCTCTAGGATTTACCTTTTACATGACTAAGCCACAGCATATCACCATTTAGCCAAGAGGGAAGAAGAGAGGATGGCGGTGAGGAACTCATGTGGCCACCTATTGTGTTTCTGTGAGAAAATACTTAGCAAAAGCAATTTAAAAAGGAGTTTATTTTGGCTCTCAGGCTTTGTGGTTATGGAATGCATGCATGCTGGCAGGGCTGGCAGGTGACATCTGTGGGAGTCAGTTCTCCCTTCACTATGTGGGCTCCAAGAATCTAGTTCAGGTCATCAGGCTTGACAGCAAGCACCTTCACCGCTGAGCTCTTTCAGGCCCTCATGTCCCTTTTAGACAATGGTGGAATGTTAGTTTCGAGCCTGGGTAATGCCCCCATAGTCTTTAAATATCGTTTAGATAGTCTTCTCCTCTTCTCCTTAGACAAGATGGATGCTGTGCACAGGTATTGCTGAATTTACTTGTCTCTGACAGCTCTAGCTGTCCTGGAACTTGCTCTGTAGACTGGACTGGTCTTGAACTCACAAATATCCACCTGCCTCTGCTGGGATTAAAGGCGTGTGCCACCACTGTCCAGTAAAGACAGGGACTTACAACATAGCTCAGGATGGCTTGGAACTCCTGGCATTCCTCCTGCCTCAGCTTCCAGATCTGTGAGATTACAGGCATGTATCACCACACTGAACTAAATGCATGTATGGATTTTGGTTTTTGAAACAGGGTTTCACTGTGTAGCCCTGACATGTCTGGAACTCATTCTGTAGACCAGGCTGGCCTCAAACTCAGAGATCCACCTGCCTCTGCCTCTAGAGTGTTGGGATTAAAGGCGTATGCCACCATGTCTGTCCTGAACATTTTTAATCCACTAAGGGAAAAATGAGGGAGAATATCTGCAAAAGATTTAGTGAGTCCTCAACACTACCCTCACTGAGTAAATGAAAGAACCAACAGAATAATGGCTGGAGTGAAGGAATGGAGGGCAGGATCAGTGGGGGGTGTGGTCAGAATAGAGCCCCTGCCTAGAATCCCCAGTGAAGGGGCTGGGGGCATGGTCGGGGTGGAGTTCTTTTTTAACAGTATGCCAAAGGTTCAGGATTCCATTAGAAACAATGATTTTTGTTTGTTTGTTTGTTGAGACAGTCTCAATGTGTAGCCCTGGCTGCCTGGGATTTTCTATATAGATGAAGCTGGCTTTAAATTCACAGAAATCAACCTATCTCTGCCTCCTGAATGTTAGGATCAAAGTCTAGGAATACTAATGAATAACATTTTTTTTTTTAAATGAGGGGAAGGCTGGTTGGTGGCACACACCTTAAATCCCAACATTTGGTAGGCAGAGGCAGGTGGATCTCTGTGAGTTTGAGGCCAGCCTGGTCTACATAGCAAGTTCCAGTACAGCCATATCGTGAGACTCTGTTTTTAAAAAGTAGTAAACTAAAATCAGGAAGATGCTCTGGGAAGTTGATATTTGAGTGACAGACAAATCCAGGTTCTTTCCTGGACAGCCCGGATGATGGAACCGCCACGGGGGAGCTCTAGGTGGACGGGAGTCCCTTATCTGTTCTCGTCTAACCAGCCTGCTTCTTGCTTCTCCTGCAGTTTAGCAATGTGTTCTTCCTCATCTTTGGACCTATCATAATGTTCCTCATGCATCCTTATGCCCAGAAACGGACCTGGGCCATCTACGGCGTCTCGGTCCTCTTCATGGTCATAGGTATGTGCTGGTGTGTGAATTTGTGAAAGTGTTCTGGAAACAGCACCCCTTCTTGACAGCCTCTGCTTGCTTCCGCTCCCCACAGGTTTGTTCTCCATGTACTTCCACATGACACTCAGCTTTTTGGGGCAGCTGCTGGATGAGATTTCCATCCTGTGGTTGCTGGCCAGTGGCTACAGCGTGTGGATGCCCCGTTGCTACTTCCCGAAGTTCATCAAAGGAAACAGGTAGCGCACACGCGCCCTCTCTGGACCCCGTGTGACCGTCTCCCATCCCAGATCCTCCACTTGAGACCATTCGAGAGCGCTTCAAGTTCCTTCTCAACACCAGGCCACCTGAGAATTCTCCAAAGATCTTTCATGACTTTCCTGGGTTTCCACATACCTGTTCCTCTACCGCCAGAAAGGCAGGAAGTTTTTCCTAGTTTTAAGTCACTGTGGGAAGGGGAATCTTAGGAACCTATGCCAAGGGTCCTCTACACCCAAAGAACCCTCGTAAACCTTACACTGATACCTGTTCCCCATCTTCTGAACTCTCCAAGCTTCCCTGAACCCCTCATCTGACATTTCCAGGCCCCTGAGTCCTCTGACTCCTTCATCATCCCAGCTCACTCCAAGCTCTCTTTAGTTCTGGTCTGGTACCTCTGGGTTCTCTTGAATCTTGTCCTTCCTGAGCAGACCCAAGGGAACCCGGAGGTTCCTCCTGAGCCCAGCTGAACTCCTCAGAGTTCTGGGTTTGTAGAATCTATTTTGGCTGCCCAAGGTGACCTTGCTGAATACTCCAGCACCTCTGGGACACCTGCCCATCCTTTCCCTCCCTCAGGTACTACTTCAGCTGCCTTGTAATTACGACCACTATCATCAGCACCTTCTTGACGTTTGTGAAGCCCACGATCAATGCATATGCGCTCAACAGCATCGCCATACACATTCTGTACATAGTGCACAAGGAGTACAAGAAGTGAGTGCAGGGGGGGGGCTGGAGGCGTGGTCAGAGGTGGAGCCCAGTCTAGAATTCCCCAGTGAGGGGCTGGGGGCGTGGTCAGAGGTGGAGTTCCTGCCTAGAATCCCCCTGTGAAGGGTTGGGGGCATGGTCATGGTGGAGCCCCGCCCAGAATCCCCAGTGATGGGATGGGGCAGTCAGGGTGGAGCCCCAGCTTAGAATCTCTCAGTGAGGGGCTGGGTGCTCAAGTGTAAAGTCCCTGCTTAATATATAGTAGTATATGGGTTCTATTCCCAGCACCATTTTATTTTTTAAAAAAGCAATTCATTTTTATAGAACACAAGTGGTGGTTGTAGCTGCCTAGAAGGGTTTTGGTTCTGAACCCCTTGGAGTCCTGTGCTCTTAGCGGTCATTGACTCCAGTCTCCTGCAGGGGGCGCCCATTCCCCATGATGACCCATTAACAGGACGGGTTCAGAGCAGTCAGTAAGTCTGCCTGAAACATTGTCTACCTAAAAACAGGCTTTTATAGTCATTCATTCATCTTATTTAAGTGCGTCACAGTGATGTGTGGAGGCCAGAGGTCAACGAGTGGGTCCTGCTCATCAGACTGGGGTTGTCAGGTTAGTGGCAAGCAAGCGCCTTCACCTGTGAGCCATCAGATTAGCGGCAAGCGCCTTCACCTGCAAGCCATCTCGGCCGCCCAGAGTGTCTTTTTTAAATTTAGCTTTGGGGTTTCACGGACTCAGTGCACCTGGACTGGCTGTGAAGCAGAGAAGGACTTTGACCTCCTGTTACTCCTTCCTCCTGGCCATACAGGTGTGTGGCACCACACTAGGCTCACAGCTCACCCCCCTTTCCTTAAGACACATGTTCTTTTGGTTCCTTGTTTTGACACAGGGCCTCACTGTGTCTCCCTGGCTGCCCTGGAACTCTCTATGTAGACCAGACTTGCCTTGAACTCACAGAAATCCTCCTGCCTCTGCCTGCCCTTGTATTAAAGCAGAATTTAACTTTTTTGATAATTATAGTTCCCCTCCCTTGCCCCGAGTGCTGGGGAATTGAACCTAGAACCTCTCTTTCTTTCTTTCTTTCTTTCTTTCTTTCTTTCTTTCTTTCTTTCTCTTCTTCTTCTTCTTCTTCTTCTTCTTCTTCTTCTTCTTCTTCTTCTTCTTCTTCTTCTTCTTTTTTTGGTTTTTTGAGACAGGGTTTCTTTGTAGCTTTNTTCTTCTTCTTCTTCTTCTTCTTCTTCTTTTTTTGGTTTTTTGAGACAGGGTTTCTTTGTAGCTTTGGAGCCTGTCCTGGAACTAGCTAGCTCACAGAGATCCGCCTGCCTCTGCCTCCTGAGTGCTAGGATTAAAGGCGTGCACCACCATCCCCGGTGAACCTAGAACCCTTACATACTAACCAAGTTCTCTACCACTGAGATAGAATCATGATAATTATGTTTTGTATTTGTAACTCATACTGGGTCTTAGCAATTCAGGGCTACTCAATAGGACCAACTGAGAAACATTTCAAAAAAGGAGATTCTTTTTCAAAATGAAAATGTACACTAAATTCAACTAAACTAACTTGAATTGGTAATAGGTAATCCTCAGGATAGTACCACCTTGGCAGAGATTCTGGCCTCCAGCTGCTGGGACAGCTGGATTGAGAAGCCATAAGGAGGTGGCTAGGGAGAGTGTCCTTTTACAGGGCCCTGATCTGATCCTTCCAGTTCCTGCTGGGACTCCACATTGGCCAAGCCAACTAGAAATCATTGGCCAATCCCGGCAGAGGTCACTGGTCTACCATACTGGAAACTATAGTCCAACCAACTGGAAACCATTGGTAAATTCAACAGTGAACCATAGGTCAAGCCAACAGCGAACTATAGGTCAAGCCAACAGGTAATCCTAAGCCAAGTCAATAGGGAACCCTAAGTTAAGTCAACAGGGAACCCTAAGTCAAGCCAACAGGGAACCCTAAGTCAAGCCAACAGCGAACCATAGGTCAAGACAACAGCAAACCATAGTACAAGCAGACAGTGAACTACATAGGCCAAGCCAACCACATAAAATAGGTCTAAGTGACTGTGTACCATAGGTTGAGCCAACTAAAATCCATAGGCCAAACCATCCAGAACTCCTAAGTGAAATTCCTATGAAGCATAGGTCACACACTGTAAACTACAGGTCAACCCAATTAGAAGCCATTGATCATGCCCAGAAACCACAGAGCAGCACATGTGAAGACTGTTAGTCAAGCCAGCTGGAAGTCATTGACCAAAGTGATGTAGACATCATTAGTCAAGCCAATCAGAAGCCACTAGTCAAAGAGAACCCAGTGAATGGTTTCTTCATCACGAGGTGAGCAGGCAGAGTCTGTGTGTCTACTGATAAAGGACGATTTCCTCATTCATCTCCAGAACATTCTTTTCCTGGGGACTGGGATTTGACTCTGCTGGCCAGGAACCCAGATTGAGTGGTCTCAAGACATGGCCACCAGAAAATGCATTGCCACACACACACACGCACACGCACACACACCTTAGTGATTCTTAGCTGTTAGCACACAGTAGGCACCATTGTTAGCTTTCTGATGCTACTGTAACACAGCTAAAACAGCAAGAAGAGTTAAGATTAGTCCCACATGACTCCACAGGATGGAGACCTAGACAGTCTCAGGTACCGTGAAGGATGAACAAGAGGATTAGGTTAGCCTAGGAGTTTGAAGCAAGGTTGGAACATATAGGCAGATATGGTGTGTGTGTGTGTGTGTGTGTGTGTGTGTGTGTGTGTGTGAGAGAGAGAGAGAGAGAGAGAGAGAGAGAGAGAGAGAGAGAGGCAGACAGATGCAGAGGGTAGAGGCAGAGGGAAACACACAAAGAGAGGCAGAGAGATGGAAAGAAAGAAAAAGACAGGGACCACAAGAATTATTCCAGTACTTTAAATTTTCATTTTTTCCCCTCAGACAGGCCTTCACTATGTAGCCCAGGTTGGCCTTCAAAATCTCAATCATCCTCTTGGCTCAGCCTCCCAGGTTCTGGGATGACAAATGTGTCTTTCTGTGCCTGGTTTGGACTAATCGTTTTTTGTCTAAACAGACAAAAACAAACAAACAAACAAAGAACCAATCAATTTTGTGTTTGCTATTTGGGCTGACGGTTTTAAGAGGTTTGGGGACTGATTGGTTGACCCTATTGACTGGGATGGGATTCCCACAACCCCCTTCGAGAACACATTGTAAGTGACCTAAAGACCTCATCTAGGCTCCTATTCTGAAAGGTTCCATCCCTTCCCTACAGAGTGGAGGTGAAGAAAGATCTTTTAATACAAGGGACTTTGTGGGACACCTCAGAGGCAACCTACAGCAAACCAGGTCCCTAGAAAACACTTCTGCTCCTTCCCTCTCCCAACCTATGAGATACATGTCTTGGATAGAGGAAATTTCCCATCAATCACTTAGGACACTGTGTTAATGCAAATGTACTCATCAAACCTCTCCTCCATCTTACACCCATCCACCTATCCATTCACATGCCCACCATCCATCCACTTATCCATCCACTTATCCATCCACTTATCCATCCACCCATCTATCCATCCATCCACCCATCCACCCATCCATCCATCCATCCATCCATCCATCCATCTGCCCATCCACCCACTTATCCATCTACCTGCCCATCCATCCATCCATCCATCCATCCATCCATCCATCCAACCATCCATCTGCCTATCACCCATCCATCCACCTGTTCAATCATCCATCCACCCAACCACACACCTATACATCCATCTTTCTGTCTGTCTGTCCATCCATCCACCCACACACCCTTGACTCAGCCATTGTTTTTGTCCCCAGGACCAGCAATGGGGACCTTCGGCATCTGATTGAGATGTCTGTGATATTATGGGCTGCTGCGCTGACCAGCTGGATAAGTGACCGTGTGCTTTGCAGTTTCTGGCAGCGGATCCACTTCTCCTATCTGCATAGCATTTGGTAAAGCACCCATTTTGGATCTGAAGACCCCCCATGTCAGAGATAAGATGCCAGAGTTTAGAGCAGAGGTCTGGGATGTAGGAGGGGAAGAGGAACAAGACCCAGAGACTGGGCTGTGGTGGTGGTGGCGAGAGGTTACACCTAGCAGTCTGGAACTATAGATACCACTCAGCATCCACAAGAATCCAAGAAGACTGGGCCGGGCCATCTCTTCATTTCTTACCTCCCTTCCCTTACCCATAGGCATGTCCTCATAAGCATCACCTTCCCTTATGGTATCGTGACCATGGCCCTTTTGGATGCAAAGTACGAGATGCCAGGTCAAACCCTCAAAGTCCACTACTGGCCCCGGGATAGTTGGTTCATTGGGCTACCCTATGTGGAGATCCAGGACAACGACAAAAACTGCTGAGCCTTGGTGGGTTCTCCACTCTCCGACAAGCCACTCAGATGTCTGCGCTCTGAGGACAGAAGACCGGGACTTACTTCAGTTAGGACGCTTGTGGTTGCTTCTCCTTTCCCTCATCCACACTCCTTGTCCTGCTGTGGCCACAAGATGAGCTTTCTTGTGGCTCAGAGCGCTAATTTGGTGACTGAGGGGCAGGGGATGCCTGGTGTGCTGCATGACTGGCCTGTGTCCTCCTTCAGCCTTGGAACCGCAGCTTCTCCACAGCCACGATGCGGTGGTGGATGGGTAGGGTATGTGGCTGATACAGCACTTGCTTGAAGCACGGTGCTTATTCTCTGGCATCTCACACATCTGGGACTATTTATGAATGTTATAGATTCAATGTGAGCATGACCGTGTTCTGGGAAGGTGGGAAGTATCCTAGAAAACATTCTAGGCTCCACCCCTAGGCACAGGGATATGTACTCTGAGCCATTCACACTCAGGCCTTGGAGGCACACAAGAGCTGTGGGAGAGAACAGAGGGCCAACCTGAGTGACATCACGGAGCAGGATGTGTGAGAGGGGAGCATGGCAGCCATTCTAGGCACTTAGAAGGAAGGCTACTGAGCACAGGTGGTTTCCATGGTGACAAAGAGTACGGAGATACACATACCTACATCTGACTTTCTGCTCCACAGTATTCAGCTTGGATAGTCATGAGGGTGTGGCCTTTCCTAGTGCAGATGTTCAAACACTGTTTCTAAATAAAATTTTCTTCCTCCTGGGGTTTCTGTTGATTAAAATTAGCTCATGTGTGTGAAGTATAACCTTGGAAATATCCATTCTCACACCCATCACCCATTCATCATCCATCCATTCAACAACCCAATGACCATCCACCCATCCATCTACCAATCTATTCACCCACCTGTTGACTGAGGTTTTCTGTCCCACCAGGTCCCACAGCCATTTAGTCCCAAAGAAATTACACAGACATATACATTAATTATAAACTGATTGGCCTAGTAGCTCAGACTTATTAACTCTTATAACTTATATTGTAAGTTATATTGTTCTTGTCTATGTTAGCCACGTGGCTTGGTACCTTTTTCGGTGAGGCAGTCACATCTTGCTTCCTCTGTGGCTGGTTAAAGACTGTGGACTGTGCCCTCTTCCCAGAATTCTCCTGTTCTCATTGCCCTGCATCTACTTGCTGCCTGGTGGCCCTGCCTATACTTCCTGCCTGGTTACGGGCCAATCAGCATTTATTTAAAATATAATTAACAGGATACAGACCATTGTCCCACAGCACCAACCCATCCATCCATCCATCTACCAATCCATCCATCCATCCATCCATCCATCCACCCATCCATCCATCCACCCACCCACCCATTCACCCACCCACCCACCCACCCATCCATCCATCATCCACCCATTCATCATCCATCCACCCACCCACCCTTCCATCCATCCACCCATCCACCCTTCCATCCATCCGTCCACCCACCCACCCATCCACCCATTCATC